ATAAAATGAAATATACCTATCTCATATGTTGCCTATATGTTGGATATATTTCATATTCAAAACAATATCAGAAGAGTATTAGATGTGACATATGTAAACTGATTTTTTTTACTAGAAGTACATTAAGCACATTATCCGCCTCTATCCGAAAAAAAAGAAAAGGTGACTATCAGCGGATAAAGAGAGATATACTTTATACGTTGCCTATGTTTTTTTACTAGAAGTACTATATCAAACACTTTTTCCGTTTGTTCCAGAGTAATATCAGATAAGTATTAGTTTACTAGCAGAGGATAAAATAAAATATATCTTATATATTACTTGCGTTCTTTTACTGGGAGTACATCAAACATCTTTTTCGCTTCTATACGAAGCAATAAGAGAAGATAATCAGATGACTATCAGTTGAAAAATATTTATAAGTTGCTTGCAATTAGGCACTAAGAGTACAACAATTTATAACCTAATTAAAATTGCTCTACAAGAGCTGATAAGTTTACTTACAAGTTCCTTATTAAATCATATAGTATCACAACGGATAAATATTGGGTTGAACCGAAGTTGACCTACCTACTCGTAGGTAGGTTGTCTCTAGAGAAAAAATATTGATATTTTTAATTCTCAAGTCGGTAATTCATTAAAATTACTTTTATTTAACGCACAATTTTTCCACAAAAATGTGAAACTGCATTCAAAATGTTCGACTTCAGATTTTTCTGATGCGTTATTAATGAAAATTAAAATTGGTTTACGCATGCGAATGTACACACTTCAGACTAAATGAAATCGTTTTGGTTTGTTCCGGCAAACAATGAAAAACTGTGCTAATAGCAAAAATAATAAATAAAAAATTTTTTATTTTAAACAAATAAAGTTCAAAAACCAACAACAACTGGAATAAGTGAAACAACTACAAAAACCCACAAACCAAATACTACGCACATGTGTGGGTTCACATGAAAACTCTGCAAATTGGTCTAAAGTACTTTTAAGTGTTTTATGCCACAAAAATTAAAATTATTGTTTAATTTAAAAGCACACTCACAACCATAAAAGTGCATTTTGCATACACAATCGGAAAATATGAAGCACCATACATTATCCTTATCCTGGCGTACAGCTGCAATTTCCTTGAAATACACCCATTTTCAAAAAAGTTTCTTAATTTTTTTCGAGCACGCAACACGCACCAACCAATATTTCCAGCGGTGAATTCCAAATCAAAAATCTAAAATAAAATATTATTTTTTATATGCAATAATTTTTTAGAATATATTTGCACTCTACCGCACTCTACTACATGTGAAAAATTGCAGTGCAGTTTTTCCTATGCACTTAAAAGGAAAATTAATTAATGCGAATAGCATTACTCATACGACCAATCGACCGTAAGTGCATACACTCTTGTGATTTTAAATAAAATTATTAGATGAATTAACTTTTGAATTTTTAATTTATTGCTATTTCATAACAGCCAAATGAGATATTATAAAAACTAATGTTATTTGCTTTCTATATATACACAATATTTCCTTTTAAAATATTTCAACTACAATATTTAACAGAAAGGATTAAGCATACTTCAGGTTTTATACGATGAGTATTAGGAGTACTTCAACAAAAAACTAATTTCAAATTTCCGCTTTTCGGTCAAATACATTTTGTAGCTTCTAATTTATATTAATCCATTAATTTATTTTAATTTTACATATAAGTTACGATACTTAAGTATATAAAATATGAAATATATGATTTTATCTCAATCCTCGTGATACAGACTTTTTTAATATTTTTAGAATACATAAGATAAAAATAATAATTAATGATTAAGTACTGAATATTTGAAAAATGAGAAATTTTTTACTGTTTATTTAGCATAAATATTAATTAGTAATATTAATGATTTAAAGAAAGAAAAAAATATATTCATTCATATACATAATAATCTTCTTACCAAGTATGTATATTGAATTTTAAAAACATTAAAATATTATACTCTCAATAATAATTGCATACGAAAATAATAATCAAAGTTTAATTAACTCATTTAAAGAAAATAAGAAAGGAAGAAAAACAGGAAGAAGGAAAAACCCGCATAACCTATTTAGCAAATTTAAAATAATCTCCCCGCTGTGTGAGATTTGAACCCACTAAAACCATCTCTTAGAATTAGTTGATAAGATCTCTGTCATCAGATTGTGATAGCTGAAATCGCATTTCAATCCTCAGGAGATGCAATATAAGAAGCTTAGTTTTTGAATATTTAAATTTAACTAAACTAGAAATTAATTATCAAAAGCATTATAGATACATATCATAATATAGAGATACTAATATAAAGCCATACTAATAGACTTTTTTGTAAAATAATCATTTTACTAGCATTTATTGATGACATTAAGATTCTTGACCCCAAAAACTTTCAAACTTTCTTCATTGTATAAATAAACCATTGAAGCATCTTGCACTACTTATGGTGGGACGTTGGGCAGCGCACCATCCAACAAGTGGCCCCACTAAAGTGAAGGATTAGCCGAAGTAGACCACGAAACTACTTGGGTCCTTTTTCGTCCTTCTGTTCTCGGATGTCGTTATTGAGTTAAAGCTGGAGTGGCTTCCGTTCGCATAACTATATCTCTTGTTAATGCAAGCAGCTCATCTAGCTTGAGGTTGC